TGTCAGGGGGGGGAGGCTGTGCCAAAGGGAGGATGGAGACAAGAAGCCCATTGAGCACAGGAGGCTGCTTTCACAGCCTTGGCTGCGCCGCAGTCCAGCTGCTGGGATATTTCTCCCCCTGACCACTGCTGGAGCCCTGAGGGGATCAGCACACAAAGCCTGGCAGCTGTGAATGCTTTCTGTGTTGTCTGCACAGACCCAGACCCAGAGCTTGGTCCCCCCTCGGTACCATATTGATAGGAGAGCAGTATCCCTCTGCACAGGGTGCAGGCACAACCAGCACACAGAAGTACACACATAGAAGGGAGGTAGTAAATATGGGGCCACTGAAGGCTGTTGGTTTGCCCGGTGGCTGCTTTCCTCTGCTGCTCTCCCATGGGACGCACAGCCTTGGAGCAACTCTCCCATCTCTGTGCCCCTGCAGTGCAGGGAGAGAGGTGCTGGGTTCACAATGGTTCATCAGCAGAGTCTCTGAAAGGCCTTTATACCCATTGCCTGTCCCTTCTGTGTGGTTTTGCACAGCTGCTCTCAGTATTTCTAGAGTCTACTTGGCAAATTGCTAATGAAAGGTTTTCAGCCCTGCAAGAGTTAATTCCTCGTGTCTGTGCAGCAGTTCAGCTGCTGCTTTATATTCCCCAGCACTGCCTTCCCTTACACCACCCCCTCCCAAATGCAAGGCTGCATTTTCTTGGCTTGGTGTCTGCATGTAGGTTCTACATGTTTGCTGTGCTCAGCCAGCCCTGCTGCTATGCTGTCCTCACTGTGGGCAACCAGCCACGTCCCAGCCATGGGCCCACAAACATCCCCAGAATTTCATTTTGCCTTTTCCTTTGTTTGTGGAATCACGGAATCATTGTGTCAAAGGCCAGACTGAAGTCCAGAGAGACGACGTCAGTGACCCTTTCCTTGTCCTCTGGTACAGTTTCACCATTACAGAAGGTCGCTGGGTTGGTCAGGCAAAATAAATTGGTCAGTCCCACCAGACTGGCACTGACAGTCCCCAAGAAGGACTTACATTTCCCCCTTGGGGGTTTGCTCCCATTGAACACAGTGTCTATTCCAGCCCTGATCCTGTGGTGGGAGCTTCATCCTTCTGATTAAACATTGCTCCAGAGAATAGCAGGCTGGACCACAGCTGATCTGAAGGTGTTTCCCTCCAGTTTCCAAAGATTTCATCTCTCGCAGCAAATGAAAGACAACTGCTAGCTTCCAAGCTATGGAAGGATGCTGCCTGGTCTCCAGAACCAATGAAGATGCACAAGAGCAGAGAGGAGGTGAGATGAAGGCACCCTTGAGGAGAGCACTGAGATCGCCAGCTGCTCCAGCTGGGCATTGCGTTTGGACTGTGGCAGAGGGCAGTCAAACTGCATGAGCTTCCAGGGAGCCCTTTGCCCTCGGGGCTGTTTAAGCCACATTTCATGTTCCAGCTCCCACTCGGACGCCAAGCTGTGTTGTTGCTTTAATTCAACATACTTGCAATGATGAGGTAATGGAGTGATCTGTAACAGCCCCACGTCATCTGGGCCTGGCTGCTGTCGCACCCAAGAGCGTGAATGTTCCGCTCTGTGCAATGGGGCTTGGCAGGAGTGTGCAGTGCAGGGTCACGGGCAGAGCAAAGCAATGATTCAGGCTGCCAAGGGAGAGCAGGGGCACGGGGCTGCCCTCCCCGAGTGGGGCTGCAGTGCTGCTCTGACTCGGGTCATTCATGCCTTCTCATTTTCATCTGTCCATGCTATGCTGGGGAGAAGATAACTCAGACGTTGTGCTGTTTGGGGTATTGCTGGGATGTATTATCCCATTGTGGGCTGGGAAGAGTAACAAAAGTCTGAACAGTTCTGGATCAGCCCATAAGAGGCTGCCGTTCTTGCTTTGCACAGGGCATGATTCCACTTTGCAGCTTCTCTTTGTGCTTATTATCTCTGTCCCATTGCAGGTGCTGAGCTCTGGCGTGTAAAGCCAGCAGTGCGTGAAGCGGAGATGCTAACAGCTCGGGAGCTGCCTGAGCTGCTGAGAGCCCCTTGGGAAGAGATATGTGCCAGTGTAAGTGAGGTCTGCGTGAGGAGGAGAGAAAGGTTGTCTCTGCAGAGTGTGGGGCTCCTGCTCAGCCTGGAGCAGCAGAGGGGCAGGGTGGTGCTGAGCAGAGGGTGCTGGTAGCTTTGTGCTCAGGGCTGGGTGCTCCAGGGGTCTGCCAGATGCAATGCTTGGCCCTGCCCCTTCTCCTGGGGGGGAATAAGGGGTTAAAAAGCTGGTGGCACAACTCAAGCATCCATCCATCCCTCTGTTTTCTTGGTTCTCGCTGGGCTGGGGGACATGACACTGTCACACTGGGGTGGCAAGAGCCCCACAAGGCTGGTGGCAGGGATGGGTCACCACTGAACAGCCAAATGTGGGTGGCTGCATTCCATAGCTCCAGAAAGCTGCAAAATGAGGGAGAGATCAGGATATGTGAGCTGGAGCCTTGCCCAAAGGCTTTGTTTTCTTGTAATGGTTCCCTTTAATATAAAGCTGTTTCTCGTGGCTCGGCAGCTGTGAAGAAGCAATGCTTTGGTAGCTCTGTGATATCTGACAGTTTGTATGGACAAAAGATGGAAAAATAAACATTATTTCTTGGTATTAAAAATCTGATCTTGGCTGTTTGTGCCACCACATCGTAACCTCAGTGCAGAGACCAGCCTGAAGTTTGTGGCACGGAGCTGCAGGGACCTCATCCATTCTCTGTGCAGAACACCTCCCAGTGCCAAAACCGTTGTGGACCCTGGAAGCCCAAACACCCTGGATACACATCTCAAGCCTTTCTTGTCCCCATAGTGTCCATGTGGCAGCATGGCCCTATTTGGGCTGGATCTCACTGAGCGTAGGGTCTGACCCAGCTAGGAATCAGCTCCCTGCTGGCATACACGCCTGCTTTGTCCAGATGGCCATGTTGGATGGGCAAATGCCTTGCAGCCTGCTGGTGTCCCTGGCTTATTGTCACACAAGCGTTTTGTCCTTGCCCTTGTTCTGTATGTGGGGCAGGAGCCCATGGCACGGGTCTGTGTCTTGTGAATGACAGCCACTCTGGTAACATCCCTGAAGGATGCTCCAGCCCTTCCTGGTGCCACCAGCACCTTCCCAATCCTCCTTGTCCCCTGCTCATGAGGACACAGCCACCAACGTCCCCACCCTGCCCCCAGGTTCCTTCCTACCTGCTATATCCCCACTGCTGCAGCAGGAGGGATGAGCCACATGCTGCAGGCATGGACGCAAGGGACTGCCAGGATAATTTCAAAACGAGGGCAGAGAGCTGACTATCATTTGGCTTAATTCTCTTTAGGTTTTTTTGTTTAATATTTTTCCTAAGGGCCCTCTTGATTAGCTCGGCAATGACAAGCTGCTAATTGCGGAGCTTGATGCCCCAAAGTGGGATATTGGAGGTGGGAGCAACGTGCCCTCGGGTACCTGGCAACTCATGTGCAAAACTGGGATAAAACAGCTGTGCTGAGGTGCCTTTCTGACCTGGATATGGAGCAGAGGAGCTGGAGGGGCACATAGGAAAGCCAGGCTGAGAGATAGGAGGGCAAGCCAAAAGAGCTTGTGTCCCTAGGAAGAGGACAGGGACACCCCGTGTGTCCCACGTCATGCAGGAGAGGAGAGGAAACAGCTGCTTAACACCAGCTAGTTCTGCTTGCAGAATCGTGTGATGCCCCCTGTCATGGCAGCCATAGGCAGTGAGAAGAATTCTATTCTGACTTCAAAAATTGGGCTGAAGTTGTAAAGATGGATGGGTGGATGAGCAGATAGACAGACAAATAGACAGACTGACAGACAGACAGACAGACAGATAGATAGATATAGATAGATAGATAGATAGATAGATAGATAGATAGATAGACAGGCAGACTGACGGATGGATGGATGGATGGATGGATGGATGGATGGATGCATAGGTAGATAGGATAGATAGAATAGTCAGATGGAGAGATGGATGAATGAATAAATGGATGGATGGATGGATGGATGGATGGATGGGTGGATGGAAGATAGATGGATAGATAGAAGGAAGGAAGGAGGATAGAAGGCATTGTCGGATGTTGGTGGGGATGTTGGTGGGGATGTTGGTGGGGAGTTTGGGGGGATGTTGGTGGGGATGTTGGTGGGATGTTGGTGGGGATGTTGGGGGGGATGTTGGTGGGGATGCATTCCCCCTAACCCCCTCCATCCCCGTGCCATGCAGCCGCATTCCTGCAGGGGCGCCCGTGTGTCAGTCCGTTGGAGAGGGGATACTTTGCCCATATCCTGCGTGCTGCTAAGGGGGGGCCCAGAGCCACAGGCGGTGGTGGTGGGGTCGGTATCTCCTCGGCTGCCCTACCCCCTGATGTGCCCTCAGCACATCTGACAGCGGCTGCTTGATTTTGCCCTGCGGCTGCGAGATGGGTTGCAGCCCTTCTCATTCATTCCGGGCGGGGGAGGGGTAGGGGAGGGGGGCTGTCCCAGAAAGCACCACCACCACTACCTAAGACACCACTTTTTTTATTTTTTTTTTCCCAAAAAAAAAAAAAAAAAAAAAAAACAAAAAAGCAATATAAATATTAGAGTATAAAACTTGCGTGTAACACATCGACGTCGGTCTATACGGGTATAAGAAGGATATAAGCATATATATAATATATAAGTATAATTCAATATTAGACACATGGAGAGGGCAAAACGTGTTTCATCTCACGTACACTCGGAGCACAGACCACATGGAGAGAAGATACAGAGAAAGTGAAAATACTGCTGTTCCACAAGTTAGTTACTGAGATAAAATAACACGCCACTAAATACACGACACTCGCTACGCTACCTCAGATTGCAGGTTAAAAAGAAATATAAAGACTACGATCCACCTACGGCGTTGCTGGGGGGCAGGGGG